TTAGTTTTTTTTTTTTTTTTTTGCCTGGGTTGGTGTGTATGTGTATGGTAAAGGGTGATAGAGTTAGGAGAGACATAGAAAGAATGACCATAAGTTCTGTTCTGTCCTTTGCCTCACCACAACCTGCAAATTTCTAGTTTCACTAAACTGTTTTTGATGTAATGACTGCCACTATCATCCTTTCATCATTTCCTGAAGTATTTTTGAGCCAGTTACATGTATGACACTTCTCATGGGTGTCTCCCTCCTTTTCTTGACTGTTAGACCTAGAGTGGTGGGTAGTTAAGTAGGTGGTGCCCTTGGATGACTAGAAGATATTATTGAAGCGGAGGAGATAGAGGAGAGTGGGAATTTACTGTAATGAGGCCAGGACACAAGTCACTTCAGGGTCTTCATCAGCTGGTAAATGTGTTTAAGTTTAGGCTTTCCCTCCAACATTCTTAAACTGTGTTGGAAATGGTTTTAGCTGAATCTGTTATGTTTCACTGATAATTCTGATACCATTTCCAATAAGCGCATGTAAAGTGTAGCCATTTACTGACAAATAATTGCTTACTGACTAATACATTGGTATTTGGACTACTGAGTACCCAAATTATTGTTACAGTAAGATCAATACTTAAAAAAAAAAGACTGGCACAAAAAAAGGCATGAGTAATATTGATGAAATTATCTTTCTCATTATAGTATCAACATGCAATGCAGCAGCAACAAATACTTCAGCAACAGTTTTTAATGCATTCGGTATATCAGCCACAACCTTCTGCATCACAGTATCCTACAATGGTAAGTGTTATGTAATTTCTAGAGATTTCTCTCTGAATATACTATTAGAATTCACAGTGTGAATGCCGTTATTCAGAATTTAATAATTCAGTCAATCCAAGTGAGTTAATTACATGTATTTTATCAAAGCCAGTCATGTACTCTCAAGCAGGTTTAAATTGGGCTGAACTATAGCACTGCAATTTGGTACCTTGTAACTGACTGATAGTATTTTTCTCTTATCTCGTAATATAAGGGAAATGATCTATTACCCATGATCTTTTGTCATACATCCCTTTCACTTAGCAAATGTCAGTTAAAGAAAAAATAAACTCAAAGGAAAATTGCATTTGCTTCAGAGAATAGTTTGACCTCTCTTATAGTAACCACCATACTAGAGACTACTCTATTGTCTTTTTCTTAATATGTTTAAAGGAGGATTTTTGAGTCCTGCCAAGTGAGCCTAGCTTCACAACTTCTTAAATAGATTTTTCATCTTGCTGTAGTTTTCTAGTAGGGAGCTGCCCCTTCAAATATAAATTATTTTTCAAGTTTATGATTTTGTTGCCAGTATGAAAAGAAGGAACATAGTGAATGGATGTGAGGCTGACAGTGCTTTAGTGACTTTGAGCATTGTTTTATATAACAGCATTTCTTGTTACAGATGCAGCAGTATCAGCAGGCTTTCTTGCAACAGCAAATGCTAGCTCAACATCAGCAGTCTCCACAACAGGCACCATCCGAATATCTTACATCCCCTCAAGAGTTTTCACCTGCTTTGGTTTCCTACACTTCTTCACTTCCGGCTCAGGTTGGAACCGTAATGGACTCCTCTTATAGTGCCAATAGGCAAGTATTTTTCCAGTGAATGCAAAGGAAATTATTGTAGAAGTAGGTGTAATGGTGGAGTGGAATCCCTAAATGGCTTCTGAATAATGTAGAGTCCATCTTTCTGTAGAGCTCCCCCTTTTCGCTTATGAGTCCTCTCTGGCCCCTGTGCTTCACCATCCTTCCTTGCATTTCTGCTAGCTAATTTTGCTAACTGCTGTTTGCAGGTAAGACTTAGCAGCATCCAGCAGCATTTAAGGTTAAGAGAATTATGGGCTTATATGTTAAGACATTTGTAATTTAAGTAGAAACAAAATCCTAACAAGCCACTTTAGTAGTTTAAAAAAATAATCCTTTCAGACAAGTTAATTTTTTCAACTTAGATGTTATTTTTAATTAATTTGATAACATTTACTCATAAAAAATATCAAATTTGGTTAAATTTAAACAGGTAACAGTTTTTTTAATGCATCATTTTGTTCTTTTTTGAGATAAGATACAACGAGCTTATTGTTACCATAACATAGTTAGTTGGGAAACTGTATTTTGGTTATTCAGATATGTTGATTAGTAGAGTTTTGCATGGCTAATTCATATTGAAAGCATTATATTATAATAAAGAACAGTGATACAAATTTTCTCAAACAGATTTGACATGAGGACTGTTTCAGGATTTTGTAATTAAGAGTCTATTGACCATTATGAATATTTCCTAATATATTTAGATATGTAGGAGGAGGTAGCTGTTACAGCTTTGGTGACTGGAACACCAAAGAAGTTCTTGTACAACACAGTTTCAAGATGTGAAACATTAGCTGGGAAAAGGTGTCTGCAGGCTCTGGCTGGGAGTTGAGCATGAGAAACAGCAACAGCAGCAGTGTACTTGTTCACTGAGCATGTCAGGAGAGGATTAAAGTATACAGTTTGCTATATATCCCTCTCAACCTCTGTGTTTAGGTGAGGGATTGAGGGAGAGAGAGGGAGAGAGGGAGAAAGAGATAGATGGGTAGCAAGGGAGGAAGGGGAAAGAAACTGATTTATTTAAGTGCTTTCTTAAATAAAAAATTGAGGTGCATGAATTAGGACAAGTATGTCTAAGTGGAGAGCAGGGCTGGTTTAAAGATCTGGATCAGTATTTGCCAAACTTCTTTGTCATCTACCTACTCTAGTTGTAATTTTTTTATTATCCTACATAGCACTTTTTTCTTTAATAAATTAATAGTAGTATTGTAAATAATAAAGTTAAATAAGATTATATGTTATAAACAAATTAAAGCCACTAAAATATACTTTATGAACTACCACTAGCAATCTAATAAATTTACAGAAAGGACATACCTGAAAATAAGTTCCCTAGGGATAAGAATGGAATAGTTTTATTCTTCATTAAAAATAGAATATTCTGCTTGATATTGTTTAAGATACTGATGACACTGTTGTATTAATTAAGTAATTGTTTTTTTTTTAATGTTGATGTTAACTAGTGTTAAAAAATAATGATTTTATCTAGTGTATGTGGTTGGAAAATGCAAAAATATTGAACTGTCATCTCTGATACAGCATGTATACTTTTGTTACACTTTGCATTTTAAAGGATTACCAACCTCTGGAAGTAAAGTTGTGTCACTGGCCAGTCATGAATCGGAAACGTGAGAGAATTCATGTTAGAACTTCACAGTATAAGTACTGCCTAAACATCTGATTAGTTGTAGAGGAAGATGAGTATCTAAAGATTGGAGGCACACATAAGCACACGAGGTGCTGATACTGCTAACTCATGTGAATTACTGTAGCATTGTCTACTTAAATCTCATCTCTACTGATGCTGTTCATGAACTCACTATGTGATATGCTAAATATTCTTTTCTAATCTCTGTGCAATTTTAAAATTAAAAAAAAGTATCATTAAAAATATATTGCATACCCTAGTTTGGGAAATATTGGGTTGGGTATCTGTGAAAGTGTATAAGACTTCTTTTATGCCACTCATGTGACACTGTGTATTGAGGCAAATGGGAAGATGGAGCAGGAAAGGGGTGATGGTTAGGTGGGTAGAAACAATTATACACTGGGCAAATAGATCTTAGGAACACAGAACTTCCCACAGGAACATTGCTTTAGCCTCACTTGGCGCCTCGGTGCTGCTTCTCTGTTATTATTCCTATTTAATGTCAACCTTTATATAAAAGATTATATGTTAAATTTTTACAAAATTTAAAAGGTGATTTGTAAGCAAATATTCCTCCTTATGACTACGTCAGTGGAAGGTAAAAATTGGGGTTAAATGTTTTGACTCTAAACATATAAGGGACATTTGAGTAGAAGATGAGAAAGCAAGTAGTTCTTAGAAGGAAAGGGAAAAGGTCACTGTCTTGGTTAGCAGGATTATTTCCTTTTATTTCCCACTCAGTCTTCTGCTCAAATTTCTACCCTCTACTGTGTTAATATATCTTTAGTATGAATATTAGAGAGTATACCATGTTGTATTCAAATAATAAATATAAATACACATGATCTTCTTATGATACAAGTCACCCTGTTGTATTAGTTATTTGTTGTTGCATAATAAGTTGCCCTAAAACAATGATAAACATCTCACACACTTTCTTTGCAAGCTCAGAAATTTAAGAGTGGCTTAGTTGTACAGTTATGTCCAGGGAAGGGTCTCTCATGAGGTTACAGTTGAGATATTGGCTGCAGTTGCAGTCTGCTGAAGGCTTGGCTGGTGCTGGAGATCTGTTTATAAGATGTCTTATTCATAGCTTTGGGCAGGAGAGGGAGGCTTCGGTTCTCTGCCACATGGATCTCTTTGAAGGGCCACTTGAGTATAGTCTATTCTCTTTGGCAAAACTATAGACTGTTTTGAACAGGGAATCGTTTATTCTGGTTTCTCTAAGAATGAATGGTCCAAAAGAAAGGGCAAGAAAGAATCTGTGATGCCTTTTATGCCTAGTCTTATGACACTGGCACTTCTGTCCTATTTCATTTGTTAAAATCAGGTCACTAGATCTAGCCCACATTCAAGGGCAGAGAATTTGGTTCTACTCTTTGAAGGGTGGGGTATCAGAGAACTTGTAGGCATATTTTCACACCTGTTTAAACTGTAGGTTAAGGCATCCCCCCACCCCCCAATTGAGTTACAGTCTACCAAGAAGAATCTATTAATTCATCTCAGGAACAAGTGGAGGACAAATCAGATAGGGAATTAGAAAGTTCTGTAAGAGATCATGACAGGCAGGAGGGGTAATGCTCATTTTTCTTAGTTTTGAAAATCGTAGAAGATAGTTTTGGAATTAGAGATGGAATTCTGTCAGGAGTCAGGCTTAGATTTTGGCAGTCAATGCATTCCCAGAGTGAGTTCTAATCTGAATTATATTTATTATTAAGATACCTAAGCTATGGTTACTAAAAAAGACTATCTTCTTATTGAGTAATTACTGTTTATTCTTCTCTAATTTTCAGTAAGTCTTTAAACATTCCATCCTAGGCTCAGCTACCTTGAGGGGGCTTAGATTAAGGGATTAAATGAGCAACTTTTGCCCTCTCTTCCTTTTAAAGACCTGTGTGGTGGCAATAGCAGTTAACTCCCAATGGGGAAGGTAAATTTAAGAGGATGAGTCAAGACTTGCAAAATTGAGATACTTCTTTAGGAATTTGATATGCAACTGATTTTTACTTTAAGACTTACTCACTATGATAATAATAGTTAATATATATTGAGTGCTTACTATTTGTTTTTTTTTACCAGACACTGTTCTCTGTACTTTATGTGTATTAAATCATTTAATCTTCCCTGTAATCTTATGAGTTATAGATACTGTTACTCCAGTTTTACAGATAAGGAGGCTGAGACATAGCGAGGTTAAGGTATTTGCCCAAGGATACACAGCTAGTGACCTTACAGAGGCTATTCAGATCCCAGGTGGTCTTCCTCTCAATCCCTGTCCTTATCTGCTATCTCCATCACAATACAATGATCTCCTTCTCTAAGCATTTATAAAATATGAACTAGGGCATTTGAAAAATTTAATTTTAACGTTTTTTGCTTCTTTTTCCTCTTTTAATTATTACTATAGGTCAGTTGCTGATAAAGAGGCAGTTGCAAATATTACACATCAGAAGAACATCAGTAACCCACCTGATATGTCAGGGTGGAATCCTTTTGGAGAGGATAATTTCTCTAAGTTAACAGAAGAAGAACTGTTGGACAGAGAATTTGACCTTCTAAGATCAAGTAAGGGACACTTGAAGGCTTATTTTGCTTCCCAGTAAAATAACAGCTCTATGATTACTCAGCAAGGCCAAAGACTGTTTTCAGGGGGTAAATAGTAAATTCTTTTTGCGCATTTGAGGGCAAAATCAGGCCATCTTCTTTTACATGTGCTATCAAACTATGTTGTGTGCAGTAGAACTCAATTGCTTGATAGTAGTTATTAAACCCAAGATTGCTGATAATATGCTGATTCCTAACACTTAAATACTGCATATCTTCGAATGTTAAATTCAGAATATCTCCAAAACTTGGAAAATTAATGTTCAAATAAAAAGGGAGACATTAGTATCTTGCCTTACTAGTCATTTTGCAGCTCTATTTTCTTGTACACTCAATAGAAGATATTGTGGGTCTGAGATGCCCTTTGAAAGTGCCTGAAAGAAAACATGGGCTGCTACATTATGTTAATGTTTTGTGATGCCCCTTTACTGAGTGGTGACACGAAAGGGCTGCTTTGTTGTCCTGATATGGCAAAAGTTAAATAAATTCTTTTCCACTTTAACTCAGATATCTCAATGTTTTTACTTTTCTTAAACTACTTAATTTGTCAAGCCTCACCATACATATTTTAGAAAAGTTCTTTTTTGGAAACAGGATGTGCGGAGTGTTTTGAGGAGGTTGCCAAGTAGGAGGAAAAAGCTTCTGAAATATGTAGATAGTTTTCAGATTTCTAAAGCTTGTGTGTGTGTGTGCGCACGCGCATGCCAGTGTGCATGCATATACATGCACGCACATCCAAGTGTTTTTTCCCATTTTTACATGTGAAAAGAAGGTCTTAATAGTCCCTAGTTATAGTCCCTAGTTTCTATTTTATTTTAGGTAACTGGCCTTATGAGAACATTTATTAGATGAAATGCTTTGTTCCAAACTGGTATATATTTTATGTGAAGTTTTAAATGCCCTGAATTAATGTGAATAGTTGTTTGAGATTTAAATTTGTACTTTACATATTGGTTATATGATTATGAAAAGTTAATTTGATGATTAAATGCAGATATAAAAATGAGTTCTGAGCCTTTAATAAAGGTCTGTTAACTTTGGTAAAACCAATCTTACATCTTTTTATTAAAATTCTTTTTTTAAACCACAACTTTTTTGTTTGATATTTTTCCTATAATTTATGTTGAGTGGCTGGAAAAGCAAGGTTTTAAAAAAGGAAATGAAGCATCCTTTTTGGGGGAATGGCAGGGAGACAGGGGTAACTAGATCATTATAATTTATAGGATTATTTTTAAAGCAAACAGTAAAATTAAAATATTCATGGTATTCTGACTGTGACAGTAACCAAAGGTTTGCTAAATCTGTGTTTTCTACTCCTTGGGTAAAACATTCTCTTTAAAAAAAAAAATCAATTTATGGAATGGGTAAAGTGTTCACATTATTTTGACCTTATAAAAATGTGTTATTCTGAGCTCCCTAGAATTTGTAATGACACTAAAGTTTTATTTACTTCACATAGGCAAGAATGGCATATAAATATCCATGTATACATAACTTCATAAAAATTTGGTTTAACATGTAAAATTCTTAACCAGCTATTCGCTTTTAAACTTCAAGGTCAGATAACATATGTAATATGTGTATGTACTTGTGCACACATATGTATGGCAAAGAAAGTTCAGACTTCATTGCAGTTATGGAAAGATGTTATATTTCAAATGAAAGTGCAGGAGGAACTTTATCTGAAGGTCAGACTTGGAGCAACTCATCCATTTGGAAAACTGCCTAGATGGTCTCTGAGCTATCACAATCACTGTCACAAGCTGATGCACTTAAATTGGCAGATAACACCAGCAAAGATGAATGAATTCTGATCCCTGACAATGCCTTTTAACTAGGTCGTAATCTCAGTAAAGTCACTTAACAGCTGTCTCACTTCCTCATTAAAAAAACTGAGTATAATGATGCTTACCTCATAGGGTTGTAAGAAAATTAAATGAAATAATGTCTTTAAAGAGCCTGGGCACTCAATAAAATGCCACTTTTTCTTTTCTCACTTTCTGTATAAGTCTTTAGGCGCTGGCTTATGGGTTATTGCTGTTTAACCAGCATTGAAAAATTTGAGCTATCAGGTTTCTTAGCTGGCAAGTAAAAAACAAAATTAGAAGGGGCTTTGTAGCAAATACATCGATAGCAGAAGTGACAGGAAACAGCAAGGAAAGGGATGGAAAGATATGTTTTTCTCTTAATAATTGATAGTCATAATATTGGGGTTCAAGAGAGGTGAAATATCTTTAATAAACTTTATAAAGAAATCAGTAATGTATTCCTCACAAAGTTTTACTTAACTGTAATAGTCAGTCATCTCTATTTCACCCACAAGCAGTAAGGTATCTAATATTTGATCTGGTTTCTAGGTCAGGTTGAAATTACACTGATGGGCAAAAGACCTCTTCCAGAATCTTAAGAGTTGCATTAGAAAATTAATAGTGTAATGAAAATTGATTGTTGGTCATTACTGGTTGGTTCCTCTGTCCCTAGCAATGCCCCCAAAATAATAAAGTATTGATGCATTTGAAATATCAAATTCACCCTTTTTTCTCCGGGCAGCTGTTTATCAACAGTTTTCAAAGTCCTTTCTAAAATAATTTATATTTGGTTTATGAGATGCTTTCCAGTGGGAAACTGAATACCTTTATGTGTGGCCCTTAAAAATATAGCCATTGCCCATGTAATCATTGTTCAGAATAATATATTCCTATTACAGATTTAATTTTAAAACGATACATGGTTATTTATTAAGAGAAAAAGAAAAAGGATATGGTGTCGAAGAAATACTTCACTTGTGTGTAATATCCCGAGAGTAATTTTAAAATCATATATTTTGAGATACTGAAATTCCAATATAGTAATAATTGGTAACAAAAACTGGTTTTTAATGATCTTTAAGAAAACAATTGATTTTATATACCAGTTGACAAAGGGATTTAACATATAAAATAAGCCAAATTCTTCTTGCTTTTGCTTTCAATGTAACTGAATATTATTTATGGGTCAGAACTTTTTCACTTGTTCTATTTAAGACCAAAACATTAAATCAGAATTGAGCATTATTAATAAAGCTGGTCACATTTTAAAAAGTTTAAGTGTGTATTTTTCATTGTCTATTGTACCAAAGCATCCCGATTAGTATGTAAACTTTAGAAATCTAATTGTCATATATTTAATATATTAAACACTAATTAGAATGCAGGTATTTGCTTTGGGAAAAATTTTAACTTGCATTTGTTTGAATAATTGTTTTACATGTTAATGAAAAGTAATAATGGAATATTTTCTTGATGGTGGATTTATTATTTAAATAGATATAAACATCTGTATATAGAGTTGGTAAAACATTAAGTCTCACCATTTTAAGCTAATACAGACCTGTTACTGTTCCATCAGTGTAGAATAACAGTTTCAAAAGTATCAGATGAAATCTGTACTTTTAAACCTTATTTATTGGCCGTTGAAGCCATTATTCATATAAGCTGCTGAATTAACTTTTTAGAGTAATTAATTTTTTCCTGATATTATGGAATATACTTTGATTCTAGGATTTTTAAGTCCTGTATTTTTGCCATCTGTATCAATTAAAATTCTTTAAAAGATACTGTCTTTATTCATCAACACAGTTCTTTTGGGGAGGTGGGAAGAGGTAAGCTTATATTGGACAAATCAAACTCAAGTTTCTCTCTAACGCAAAGGAAACCAGTTATTTGAAAATGGAACTTAAATACATTTTAGAGGTGACTATGTATTTGAAAAGTAACTTACTATTTCATTAGTTTTTGTTTATAAGTAACTGAAAATTTAAAATAGTAATATGTGTATTTATTTTGTATTTTGTGCCCTGGGACCCAGAATATCATGTGAACTTTGGAAATTGGAATGATTTTTTTTAAACTCCTCCATGGAAAAATGGATTCTATGTTTTGTAGAACAGTGAGAACATGATTAATTTTATAGTGACTTTATCCCAATTACTGTCACAAGCAGATAAATGAACTTTGTATAGAACAGTGTCTCCATATTTTTAATTATGGGAACCCCCTATATAAAAAATATTAATTTACTCCCGCATGATCATGTCTGTACTTTTGTCATAAATACATGGTACTATTTATGCATTTACTATGAATTCATCCACCATAGATTGATGGAGATAATACACCAGTGCATGAGAATTCAAGGAAACCATTGGTACAGTAGTTTATAAACCTGGAGAATATGTTAAAATGTGGATTTCCAAGCCCCTACCCAGATAATCTGATTCATTAGGTCTGTGGTAGGGCCTGGGTAACTATGTTTTATATAGGAATACTGGCAATTATGATGCGGATGGTTTAAGAAGGAAGTTTTATGCTAAGTACCTATACCACTCCCTTTTTCCTTTGTCTTCACTCTTTTGTGCACTAGAATTTGGGAGAAGAAGAAAGAATTCGGGAGTCTAGGAGGACTGTGATAGAAGGAGCAATCCTTGATTTTAAAGTTACTCTATAAATGCATTCAGGGCCTGATGACATTGGCAACCACCTGTGTGATTCAGTGACTCTTAGGCCTCTCCTTAAAGTTTGATTATGGCTTCCTACCACAATAAAGTAAAAACCCTTGGTTATATATTCTTCAACCTTATTTTTTTCATAATGATGTTGAGACTAACTTATCTTTAATAGGCATTGGACAACAAAATACATAAAAAACTTTTTTCATGGCACAATCAACATTTGTTACCGATTTCCTGAATTAAGTATACTGTTAATATCTTGAAAAAGAACACCTAAAATAAATTTTCATTGTTATCCATTGCAGTTTTGGATTTGAAAAGTAGTTCTTGTTTTGTTTGTGCATAAATCGTCAGATGTGTTTCCTTAACAAAATATTTAATAGTGCTTCAGCAAAGTTTTAAGTAAAAATTTAAACAACCTTAAGTTTCAGGTGGAGTTTGCAGTTAATTTTAGCCATAAAAGCTGATAATTATATCCAATATCATAAAGGTGTTTAAAGAATTAGTTGTCCTTAGCAGTAATTAAGTATATTCAGGATATTGTAGACCCTAGAGTTTTGCCTTCTCAAAAGTATGCCCCCGGACCAGTACTATCACATCATCTGGGAGCTTATTGAAGTGCACAATCTCAGGACCCATCCCAGAACCATCCAATCAGAATATCCCTTTATTCTTTTTACCCTGCTACATTTTTCTCTATAGCTTTATTTGCTTTTAACATACTGCATATATATTTCACATTTGCTCATTGCTTATTATTTATTTTCGATGCCAGCACGTAAACTCCATGAGGGCAAGAATCTTTGTTTTGTTTGATGTTGCCTGCCCATGCCTAGAACAGTGTCTATGTCTAAACAGAATATAATTGCTCAAATAGTTGTTGGATAAATAAATAAACTGTCATTAAGGTGTTTAAGTTAGTAGAAAGATATCTTCGTATCTCTGTGTATGCAAGTGGTTTAATAATTACAAATAATGAGAAATGAACAAAAAAGTGAAATGTGGTGAATTATTTTTATTGCTATTGAGAAGTAGGATTTACTTATTTTGTGAATGAAAGACCATTTGCAATATTTTTCCCATAAGTGTTTATGGAGAAAGTTGCCAAATATGTCTCTGTTTAGTAAGCTGTTTTTAAGTTCAGGTCCAATATGTTACAAGTTGAAGACAACTGGTATTTAATTAAACTAAACCAAATTATTAACTAATTATATTTAGTGAAAACTAGCTCTGAGGTTATGTTTTTAAGCTTGCCTTTGCAACAACAAATATATCTTAAACTCAGGACTATACCCTAATACTTATAAAAATGAACTCTGAATCTAATATTTTTCAAAAGGTTGTTCTTTTGTTTAACTTTCACTTTTATTTATACTGTAAAGCACTTAAAAAATTAAAGTTCATTTTGTTTTTATTTTATTTTTTGTTTTGTTTCATCTTATTTTCGCAGACAGGCTCGAGGAGAGAGCATCCTCAGATAAGAATGTAGACCCACTTTCTGCTCCACATAACCATCCTCCAGAAGATCCTTTTGGTTCTGTTCCTTTCATTTCTCACTCAGGCAAGTTACATATGTAACATCATCACTGTCATTAAAAAATATACACAAGAACAAGATCAAGAAAAACCTTATTCATATAAAACCAAAGTAAGAATCAGGTGTTAGTTACAGAAAATAGAAAAGAAAATTATTTTAACCTTTAGCCATCTTAATCTTCCTAATGTCGTTCTTTCTGTTGGGTTATTTAGTTGTGCCTTTTGCCAACACAGAAAAATGCTGATTTATGTAATAGAACCATAACTGTTTCTTTTCACTTTTATTATTGGATACTGTTGCAAAAAATCTATGCATGAAAATATCCCTCCCATTTATATATTTAAAATACATTAAAAGATACTTTCATGTTTAGCTTTTGCTTAAAAATTCTGTATTACCTAGTTTATAATGCTCTCTTATAGTTGCATTTAAAAAACATTAATGATTTTGTATTTGTCACAATAATGTTGTGACAAATCACCCACTCTTTTATTTTACATTCTTGCTTTGATTCCAGACCAGACTTTCAATATTGTTATTCACCATTTAAAAATATTTGTAGTAGTATTTTCAAAGTAATTACCCAGTTAATGGTGTTGAAGTTACTAGGATGGAGTAGGATCCCACTTTGGCATAAATGGATTTGTGTATGTGCATGGTTATAACAGAAAAAGTTTAATCTTAGAAAAGTAAAATATATTGGAAGAAATAATGCTTTGTTTGAAGGTAAAGATTTTGTTTAATATATTTATGGTAACTGTCAGCCATGTTCTTTGGTTCTGCTGTTCCTTTTATTCACTCAGGCAAGTTATGTATGTAACTCATCATCAGTACCATTTAAAACACAGAGAGAGGGGGAGGTAGGGAGGGGTGAGACAGACAGACGGAGACAGAGACAGAGGGAGATAGAGAGATGGAGCAAGAGAGACAGAGAGAGACAGAGACAGAGAACAAGAAAAGAAAAACTTATAAATGTAAAACCAAAATAAGAAATAGGTGTTCAGGATTTCTAATTAACACATTGAGGCAATGGTACATCTTTTCAACATTGAGATTTGGTTATTCGGAACATGTAGAACAATAGTAAAGAGTTTCTACATACTTTTAAGTTCCATGGTTTACTCTTTGCCACTTATTGAAAAGAGTCCATGTTTCTGCCATTTTCTTCTTTTTTCCTTCAAATTATCTTTTTCATGAATGGCATGACATCATCCACTAGGAAAGACGGGTTACTGTGTCTGTTTACTTAATTTGCATGGATGTGCTCCTTCACACCCCCGATAGGTTATATAAATGTTACTGCTTTGTTTTAATGATATCTCAGAATGGTCTTTATAAGCGCTCAAAATGTAGTGACTTCAGATATTGATTTATCAGTACTAGCTTTTTTCATACTCTAAAAAGAGTTGTGTGATGCTTTTTAGATTTGCACATACCTATGCAACTTCTCTGTTCTTTAATAGCTCTGAAAGAACGCTGGGGTAGTGAATAGTAGAATCAGGAATTAGGGCAAGCCTCAATGATTTGCCTTTTCCCTAGACACCCTTATTTTGGGGTTGGCCTAGGATATTGATAGTTAGAAATATGCTCACAGATTTGAGCTTGCTTGCTGCTGCTGTTATTTTGTTTCTCTTTTTACTATAGGTATTTAACTTCTGTATTAGATCTTAAACTTATTGAATTGTCTGTATCGGGTCCTTCCCAGTAGCCAACCTAGTAATTACCTAATAATAGTCATTGGATATATGAAAAAATTATGACTACCTAAAAATTCATACTCCTTAGTGTTAGGATATTGACCTTAAAAAATGCCCTTTCATATAAATGCTGCCCCTTCCAAATATCTTTTTAGATTTAGTGTGAATATGAACATTGGAATAGCTTGGTGATGAAAAATAGTTCATAAACTAAAATAAGGGAGGGAATGGTCATAAGAGAGATGTGCCTCCAGAGAGCGAAGAAAAGGTGACCACTTGATTATAATAGCATTATTAATTTATATTTATCAGATCTAAAATACATAATTAAAATTACAAAATCTTAAAATAACCACTGAGCTATTCATTATCAAGCTTAGAAATACTTTGTTGTATATAATTTTTCAGTAAAAATTAAGTATTTGGGAGCATAGTAAAATGATTGAATTCGTTCGAAACAAAAATTAATTTCATAAGCTTTAGGAAGAAATTTGAAGGAAAAAAAGTTCTCTCTAATGAAAATGTACTCCACCTAGCATTGTGAGTACCTGGATATTTGTTGGACTAGAACAGAAGAAAGGCAAGAAACCTAAGGGGTGGGGGTAGAGAGGGAAGGAGGGAGAGAGAAAAAAAAAAAGAGAGAGTGCACACATGAGAGAGCACGTGTGTGTGTGTGTGTGTGTGTGTGTGTGTGTGTACAAAACAGCAATACGTAGATGAAATAAACAATCTTGAATCTGAGAGCTGACAATTACCGAACATAATTTTAAGTAAACCATGTAGAGAATGCTATTTGAGAATAAAAGAATTCAGTCGTGAGGCAGAAAAAATGCTATAGAATTTAGCAAATTTTAAGTCTACTGGTAAAGTACATTTTAGAAGAAGGCCCACTGTCCTGAATCTAATGTTTCTTATACACTGGTTTTATTAGGAATTTTGCTTTTTATTTCAAGAGAAAAAAAGTTCGGTTACAACTTTGAAATTGTAATGGATTAGTTTTTACTTTGTTTTTTTCCTATCATAATTTTACAAAATCATGTTTAAACTAAGTTTAAAAAGCTAAAATAATATATGTATGTACTTTAAAAAATTGTATTTAACATGGTTTGTAATGAAAACAAACAAACAAAACACTTCTTTGCCTCTTGCCTCCCTGTCCCCTATCCCTGTTCAAATTCCCTATAGATAATTTTTCTCTTGTGGCGTTTTAACTTATCATGCTTATTCTGTTTTTTTTTTTTTTCCTTCAGTTTTAGATGATATCTGTGGGCTTCCTTTTATAGAAAATGAGGATTTAGATTAGTTACAATACAATTAGCCCCCTCACACACACACTCAACCATGCACAACTGTCCTTCCCCCCCATCTTTCCAGTACAGTTTTGACACAATTGTTGGTTGTCAGTGTTCAATGTGTACATTTTTGGGGCATATAAATATTTTTCACCATTGAGGTTTAGCATACCATGATTAGATTGCCTTCTATAAGGTTTTATTTTTCCTGAAGTTAGTTATAATTCTGTTTATTAAAGTGACTGTTTGTTTCCTTAGTTTTTATATACCTTGTCACTGATTCATCTCTATTTAGAAGTACAAATTTCCTCCCATTTAAAGGTGGCTATCATTTTCATTTTTTCTTGGTTACATCTCTTATGGAGCTCTGCAGTCTAAACTGGTTGCTTTCTGTGCCTGCCACACACATAACTTAGTATTTTCTTTTACCTTTCAGTCTTCCTGGGAATTCCTGTATCTCCTCTCTTTCCTATTTCCTGGTTTGTTAGTAGAGCAAGTCTTCTAATAGTTCTTGAGAAAGTATACATGGGAAGAAAAGTTTTAAACTTTGCTGCCTAAAAATAACTACCCCCTCCAAACTGACACTTGATCGATAATTTGTCTGGGTACATAATTCTATGTTAAACATAATTTTTCTTGTGAATTTTTGAGGCGCTATATTGTATTCTAGCTTTAAAAAGAAAAAAAGGCCTCAACTAGGGGAATGACAGTTCTTATCCCTCTAACCTTAGCTCTCATTCCCTCTAACTTTTAAGAGTACAAAATACCTTTTTCTTTTGTCTCTTTAGCAGCTATATGTACTCCAGATCTAGTACCATCATCTGGCCTACGTACCTTATTTTGTCCACATAGATGCGTCTGTTTTGTTTGCTGCTTTAGCTTATGATATTACTTTCAGACTTTTAGCAGGTTAGCTGAAGATAACATTTTGGTAGACCATGTCTTAAAATGAATCAAATCTAGCTTTTTGTCTTCTTACTTTTAAGTGTTACTTAATGGGCAAAATTAAAATTTATAATTTTCCATTTATGCATAAATCGAATAATTATATCAAGATTCCATTTGGTGCTGTATGTGAAGGTAATACCTTATTCCACAAGTTGATACTGTAATTATCATGGAATTATGTTTACCTTTTATGTCAGATTACTGAACTGATATCAGTAGTGTGGTACATCATAAAGAACATTGACTTTGGATTATAAAGCCGTGGGTTCTATCACAAATTCATGTGATATTGGGTGTTGCCTAATTTCTTGGAGGGTTTCTTTATCTCAAATTGGGGATAATATTAACTATTTGATGAGATTATTGAAAGGATTAAATGAGGGAATTTTATACAAACTGTACACATCCTCAATGTTGGTTGCTATTGTGGCTATTGTTGGTAGTGCTATTTAAATAGTATTTTTACTACTTACTACTAAATTTCAACGTCTTAGTGTTAAATATGTTTTGCAACTGTTATCAGCTAGTAGTAGTACAAAGTTCTAGTAATAATGAGCTAGTATTCTCTTAACTACTGAGAGAACCTTTGAATAAAGTATAGAACCTGAAGCCTTTTACTACCGAGAACTGTTTTAATAGTGCCATTTCTGTTTTTATTAAAGCATTAACTATCAGTATTCACATAAAAATCATAGTAAAAGCATATTCATCCCATCCAAAAACCCACACACCCTTTCTCCCCAAGTCATATTTTACGGTTAGTTTGTATACCAACATAGGATGTGTGGCTTTCTGAATTATCGTGTGGATTCCCTAGTTTTCATAAACACAGCTTCTGAAACATAGTATTTGAAGAGTTTTGTTGACATATAGGCCATATTAATTGGGTCACTGAAGTTTTAGATTTTTCATATTGCATTTCATTTTTAATTCAATTTGGTGAACTTCCCCTACTCTCTCAAACCCCAGACCTACCTCATGGGTCTCGTTATCTAATATGAAGTTAAATTGAGTTTAGGGTTGGGGAAGGTCACACTATATAGAGCAAATATTTGTTGGAACATAAACTGTTATAGATTGTTCAAAT